ATTAGGAGTCCTGCTTTGAGTTTTCCATTTAGGGGACCCAAATAAAACTGAGTTTCATGACCAGCCTTGGCACAATGTTATTTTCAAAAGATACTCAGGTCCTGCAAAGCAAGGGCATTGGAGATAAATGTGAGTTCGAGGGTGTGGCATGATGCCGGAGCTTTCCTGATGCATTTGCCACCCCCTCGCCCCCTGGGTTTTTTAGAGGTAGAAACAGTGAACTGAGTTTGTCAGTTACATGAAGTCCTCCTCATCAAAGAGCATATTAAACATCATGGGGCGCCCTTGACGTCATTTTGCTGGTGGATTCCTGTTGGGGGAGGTGCCCTCGGTGGGGTGAGCTGCATCGAGCACATTTCGTTTCCCGCCTCCTTCCTGAGGGTTCCATTAATTCAGGGAAATAGACTCAGAGTTAAAGATAAAGCAAGAGGCTGGTCCTAGGCTTGAAACTCACAGTTCTAGGCATTTGCTCCCCTGCCCCACAATGGGTGCAATGTCGGTGCCTCTTTTATGTGAGTGCCAAGTACTGCACATGTGACCCATAGAACCAGCACTGCCTGAGAGGCAAGTTTGGTGAGGTTTCGAGACCGTAAGGATCGTGGTTATAGCACGTTATATCGTGTTATGTTGTGTTTATAGTTTTGGATCCATACAATCATGTTTTCTAAGTTGTACGTGAAACTCCAACTCCTCATTGCTGGGGTTGCATGAGTTAGTCCAGCACCACCGTTAGTCTGGAGCTTGGCAAACCATCTGTAAACTTATTTTTCCTCAAGTAAAATACGTAGTAGCTCTTTTGTTCATTCCAGGAGACTGAGGCTGCAGTGACCCCTGGCCGCCTGTGCAGTGAGGTGACCAGGAGCCAGTGTCCCAGGCAGATGATCCTCGCGGCTCTTCCTCAGCAGAATCCTTTCTTCAGAGGGAACCTTCTAGAGCCATGGAGATGTAAATCTGATAAGGCAACACTGCTCCCATTGATGTGGGGAGGCGCCTGTGAGGCCCTCAAGCAGGGCGGCCCAGAGGACCCCCTTTTATTATAAAACCACCACTCTAGGCTAGGCTGTTGCGTGACGCTCTGAAAACCTAGCGCTGGCATTTCTTCTCCGGAGTCAGTCAGTCCGGGGAAGACCAAGGTGCTGTGGGGGGATGGGAACTCAGTTCCACATCCAGCAAGGATTTCCAAGAACATGGTGGAGAGCAAAAATCATAGGCGTTCATCAGTGTTTATTATCTTATTGTTGGCTGGCTTCAATTTATCATTTACCTTCAGTTATCATTTTAGTGACCGTAACTTCACCACTCCCCGCTAGCCCACAAACTCCTCCTCATGTTGTTACTATTATATTATTATATTTGCCCTGTGCTTTTATCTCTCCCTCGCTCCTCGTTCTCGTCCCCCAAGATTTAGAGCCAACAAGTCAGCCCTCCACCCCTCTCCTCTCGGCCCCTCCAGCCACTTCCCGCATTGGCTCCTATGGAAGGAAAGGTCTCAGCTCCCACTTACTGACACTGGTTATCTTCATCCTGCCTGGTCTCTAGATACTTCTCCTGTTTATTAGATATATTTTTTAGATGACATAAACAATGCATTTAATTTGGGTAAATATAAAAAGTAAAAGGATAAAATCACTTATAGTCCCACCCCCCACACATAGCAGTGGTTAACCTTTTGGTTAACCACGTGCCGTACACACATCATACGTTGCTAAGCCACCTTCCTAAGGAAGCCGCGAGGGTGAAAGACTCACTCAGGGTCACAGGGTTAGTGGCTGAGCCGAAGCTCACTGTTCCTTAAGCCAGAGCTCTTAACTGCTGGGATTTCTTGCCTCCTACTTTTTAAAAAAATTGGCTCATAATGAATCCTAATAATTTATTCCATGTCATTAAAATACACCCCTTCATGGCACCATCCTCTTCTTTTTGGTGGAATGTTCTATTGATGGACATTTAGGTGTTTCTAATTGTCTTCTTATAAGTCACTCAGCAATGAACATCGTTGGAGTACAATTGTTTTTTTATTTCTGATTATTTCTTTTATCTGGATTCTCCCAAGCCAGTTTATTGGGTCAACATGATGATATTTAAACGCCTTGCTACATTATGACCAAATTGCTTTGCAGGCAGGGAACTGAGTTTTACTCCCCACTTAATCATATTCGACCCCACCCCTCACCCTTCTTCCCAGCATCCAACACTATCATCTGAAACCATCTCCTCTTGGTGTTTCATTGGTGCTGGACTTCTGTTGTTTTTCTTACAAGGGAGGCTTAGCATATATTTGTGTTTAGTAGTGGTTTGTGCTCCCTTGTTTGGCGGATTTGGATTTTAGCGCTTTGCCCATTTTCCTGCAGGGTTTTGTATCGTTCGACCTCGTGGTAGGATTTGATTCCGTTTCCTTAGCATCTACGGATTCCTCCCTGGTGTGACTTTCCCTTCTTCCTCTCCCTGCTGGCTGTCACCCTACTTTCCCAGTTCACTTCCCCTTTCCGGAGGTTCCTGGGGTTCCCTGGATCCTCTCTTCTCACTCTCCAGGCCCTCCCGGGGGGCCGCTTCAGACCTTTCCCCTCCGTCCTTGGTCCTGTGTCCCTTCTCCAAGGCCCCAGATTCTTTCACACCTAAGTCTTCAGAATGGGTTTAGCTGATTGATAACAGTAAGCCTGGATTACCTGCTACGTAAGACGTCATAAAGGAAGTGTAGACTCATAAATAGTCAACTTGGGTATCAGCTGGCCTCTGAAAACCAGTTAGAAGCTAATACCTCATAAAGGGATTTGAAAGTCAGAACAGTGTGGCTTGCTGCTTATCTTGCACGCTCTTCCCTGGCTTGTTTGACTGAAACGTGATCAAAAAGCAAAACTACACTCACTCCATTGCAACAAAATAAACAGTTTCCTCGTTCGTTGCGCAGCAAATGAAAGCATTTTCTGACTGTTGGCGCCCTACTTAGCAGCAATTTGCTGTTTGGGGATTACAGTAAAGACCTGGCAGGGTTGATGGGTGGTTTTACAATAATGTATGTAAAGTACCAATTAATACTCGGAACCTGTCTTCGAAATGCCTGGGGAGAGAAGTAAAAGAAGCTCTCACTGTTTTAAACAGCCTGGACTGACCATTTTGAGAGAGCTTTAAAGATGCTTCTAGAGCTGGGCGAGTGGCTCAGCTGGTTAAGAGCTTGCTCAAGAGTGCGAGCTCTGAGCAACAGGGCCGCTGGTTCGATTCCCACATGGGCCAGTGAGCTGCGCCTGAGCTGAGCTGCTGCTGAGCTGCCAACAGGTGGGAGGATGGCTCAGCTGGTGAGAGCACGTGCTCCTAACAACAAGACTGCCTGTTCAATGGTGGGCTATGCCCGCATGCAACTAAGACTGAACTGGGCACCTTGAGCTGAGCGTCACTACTGGACTTGGAGCTGAGCTAGCTGCATCCTCCACAACTAAGATTGAAGGACAACAACTTGTCTGTTCCCCTCTCCCAATTCCCCAACACTGTTCCCCTCCCCCAACTCCCCAATTAAAAAAAAAAGAAAAAGATGCTTCCAGCCTCAGTGGGGTGGGGCGTTTTGAGGCTGGCCTGGATGGAGGGCAGGCCCACTGGGCTGGGGGTCTTTTCCACATGGCTGGGGGGGGGGAGGGCCTTATGGAAGGTGATGCAGGCTGCAGTCTACAAATGCCAGGGTGATCAGGAGGGTGGAGGGTGTTGTTTATTCATTTAGTTATTCACTTTATACGTGTTTGTACAGCTCTGCTCTGTGCCAGGCCCTGGGAATATAGTGCCCGAAAGGATAGAGCTAGTCCTTGGCTTCAGTCGGCTAAAAGGGGCCAAACGGACCATGAAGCAAATTGGGGTGGTCGCGCTGGGCAGAGGCTAGAAGGGCCTGCAAGGCCAGGTCACCGGCCCGGGCACCAGCCCAGGCGTCCCAGGGCACCACCTTGAGGAAATGATGCGTAAGAGAATGAGCGGGAGATAACCAGACAGAGGGGGGCTGGGGAAGGGGTTCCAGACAGAGGGTGGGGCTGGAACGGGAAGGTGTGGCCCAGGTGAGGCGCAGGCCCAGGAGGACAAGGAGCGTGCAGGCCTGGGGCAGCCGGGGGCCACTGGAGGGGCTGGCAGGGCTGAAGGAGCTGGCACTGCCACTCAGAGGTGGTAGTGACAGAGCAGGCTGTCACGGGTGGCTGGGCAGCTTGGCGCCAGGACACTTAGGGAGGCGGGGTGTATAGGAAGGATGACCTTTTGTTCTAGAAATGTCTTATTTACTGTGTTGCGGACCACCCAGGGGTGTGGGGTAGCTGGTGGTGGGTTTGGTCTGCAGCCTGGGCTATGGTCTGAGCTGGTGTTTGGGGGACAGGGAGAGAGGGCGCCTGCAGTGTGGGACGGGCGCGTCTGAGCGTGAGACGAGCAGGGGGCAGCCCGGGATGCATCTCCATGGTGGCTGGGGCCCCTGTGATGTCCCAGCTCCCGAGCCTCGGAGGGGATTAGCAGCATCCCTGGGTCCCACGGGCCACTGCAAGTCTCAGGGTGACCAGGAGGAGCGCGCTGGCCCTCAGGCCCACCGCCGCCGTCTGTCAAGGCCCTTCTCCCCCTTCCCGTGGTCAGGGCCACAATTCCTTCCCCCCACCTGACAGCCACACGCTCTGGCTGATAGTTTCCGTTTGCCCCGTAAGTTCCCTTCACTCCAAGTTCATTCACTTGAAAGTAGCTACTTTGAGCTTCCAGTGTGCGGTGGGTGGTCTGGGATGCGTGTCTCACTGTGGAGAGAGGGCGCCCAGGAGGGCCCTGCCCCAGGTGTGAGGGACCAGGAGAGATGTGTGGCAGGGTGGAAACTCCAGCTGGGTCATGGAGGCTGAAGGAGAAGGGACAGGGATACAGCTGACCCGGGGGGGCAGGGAGGGACGGAGCCTGGGCCTTCTGCAGGTGGCTGAGCCGAGAGCGTGGAGGGGAAGGGCTTTGGGACGAAGCTTTCCGGGAAGCCCACACCTCTCTCCCCCTTCTCCACAGGAGCACAGATGTCCTTCGAGGGCGCCAGGCTCAGCATGAGGAACAGAAGGAACGGCACCCTGGGCAGCACCCGCACCCTCTACTCCAGCGTGTCTCGGAGCACTGACCTGTCCTACAGCGAAAGCGTGAGTCGAGGGGTCGTCCAGGCAACACGCTAACGGGTCTGAAAGCATCTGTTGGGCAATTGGGATTATTTGGGCACCGATACTCCTTTAAAAAAGGTCCTGTCTCATCGTATAGTATTTTGTCCCGTGGGCTAGTTTTGTTGAATGTAGAAGCATCTTCTTTCGTGTTGTTTTCCCAAGCATTCCTTTTAAAAAGATTGTTACTGTAACCTTAATAAGTTGTTAAATAATGCATTTCTGAACTGAGTTTTCTGAGCATGTAAATACTGCGCTTCTAGTAGTCATTTTACTATATTTAAGGCTTGGTGTTCTTGCTTGCAGTCCTGTCGGTTCTGGATTCTTGATCCTCAGTTCTTTCCTTTAACGCTAAGGCTGGTGTCTCAGTTTGTTCTTGCCGTAGCTTCTAGCTTGTTCTGAGCCGGCATCCACATTGCCTTCCGGACGTGGAGGCAGAGCCATCATTGCTTCCAGGACGAGCTGGACTCCGGCGGCGTGCTAGCAGAAACTGTGCCCTTTGTGTTGGGCGCGGTGTTTTGATCTGGCTGGTGGTTACATGGGCTGCCTTTGTGATATATCATTAATCTGTAAGACAACAGATAAGAAAGCAAAAACTTCGCCCCCCACTGCGCATTTAAGGAGCCCCTGGCTCTCAGGCACTGCCACTCCCCATGCCGAGTACCTCCTTACCTTCACACCTGGTCTCACCTTGGCCCTGGCCCTGTGAGAAACAAGTAAAGGGGGCAAGGGACAGTGGTGGCCTCTCCAACACCCTCCTCCTCCAGTTTCAAGTGACAAGAGACCCCTGGGAGGGCAGGAAAGGCCTTTCCAGGCCATGGGTGGACTCAGGTGTTGGGGCCTCAGGAGATGGACAGGGCTGGGTACAGCATTGCTGCGCGGACTCTCTGCTCCCCTGCACCCCTGCAGTTGTCCCCTCAGAGATGCAGGCGGCCTGTGGGTAGGACTTCTGAGGCCACCCAAGGACCTCTCAGTTCTGGGGGCTCCTGTTTACCCCCCCGGGAACACACAGCTCTGCAAAGTGTGTTCTCAGGGACTTTTCAGATTTTTCAGCAACAAAGCAGTTTTATCACCACCCCTCCTGCATGGCCCTGATTCACCAGCTTGTACATCTGGTGAGCTCCTTCACATGTGCTAAGTAGACTTAGAATTCATTAAGACGATAGAAAATACCGTGAGGAAGACTGGGCATCATCGGGTTTCAAAATGTTTGCATTCAGATTGAGTGTAGAAACTAGTTTTGCTTCCTACATTTTTATTGCCTGTAGAAAAGAATGTACAAATGTAAATTCCCAGCTTAAGGAAGAATAATAAAACGAATGCCCTTGTACCCAACGACCAGCCTAAGGAAGCACCTTCACCAGGACCCTGGGCCATCTGTGTTTGTTTCCCTGCCTCCCGTCAGAGGCGGCCTCTACCCTGAATTTTGTGCTGCTATTCCTTGCTTTTACTTATAACTTTATGACTTGAATATATATCCCTAAACAGTGTGGTTGAAGCTTGTCTGTTTTTGATACAGGAACTCAGACAATTAAGTTTGCGAACTTTCCACCGTGCACTTACACGAACTTTTGCGAACTTTTTTGTCCTTTTGTACATGGAATTATGCAATAAGTATTCTTTTGCAAGTTCTTTTGCTGCTCACTGTTACATTTTGGAGATTCATCATGTTGATACGTGTAGCAACTGATTCATTTCAATGCTGTGTAGCCTCCATCGGCTGGTATGTATATCCAGCCTGTGTGTGTGTGTGCGCGCGCGTGTGCATGCGTGCGTGCGTGCGTGTGTGTGTGTGTGTGTGTGTGTGTGTGTGAACATTTGGGTTTCCAGGTTTTGCTCCTAGGGTCAATGCCATTCTGGACATTCTTGGATGTGTGAGCTGGGTCTCCTGGAATGATTCTTTGGGTTGAGGCCAGGAAGTGGAGGAGGACACCTCTGTCATGGGGTCGGGTTTAAGACACAGGATTCATGGGGAAACTTTCATTCAAAAGGTCAGGAAGACGAGGCACGTGGTCCTAGCTCTATGATATCTTAGCATGTCTGGGGGCGAGTTGGTGGCAAGGGGAGAAACTGCTGAATGCACTGTGGACGTCGTTCCAGGAGATGGACTGCCCTTGTCCCCCACTTTTGTGGCTCATGGCTCGTGATGACATCACTGTGTGGTGATGACATCACTGTGGATGACTCCATGGCTGGCTTTGGTGCTAGCAGCTTTGGGAGGACAAACTTGCATGAAGTCTGATAACTCCAGCTGCCAGGGCCCGGTGACCTGGGGGATTTGGGGGAAGTGGTTCAGCCCCCAAACCCGCTGCCTGGCACCTGAGCTTGCAGTCGTTCACAGGACAACCCTCCCTCTCTCTCCACAACGAATATTTCTAGGGATGTAACTTTACCGGCAATGGTGGACAGTTTTGTAGAGTGCTCCTACCAATTCATTCACCCAGCCATGGCGGGCATGACGCCCCACTGCCTTGCCCTTCACCCACGCTGGTGTCAGTTGCCTTTTTAATTTTTCCAACCTGGTGGGTGTGCAAAGAGGTTTCACTTCAGATCTGCCTCACTATTGATGGGGTTGAGCTTCTCTTCACATATTTATGGGTTATTTGTGCATCTCCTTTTATTCAGTGTCTGCTCAAGTCTTTTGCCATTTTCCCATTGGGTTGTCTGTCTCGTTCATAGTGATTTACAGTTCTTTACAGATTCTGCTTACCAATCGTATGATTAATACATGGTATGCGTATCTTCTCCCACGTTGAGGAGTATAGGTATTTTTGAACTATTTGTTATCTGTTGTCAAATAGTTTGCTCCTGCCAATTAAAGGGAAGTTTTTGGCTTCCACAGTCTTTGGGTTGTTTGTCAGAATTAAGTCATGGATATGCTGCAGCACCTTGCTCATGGTGGGAGAAACAAGCATGGATGAAGTTTTGGGGAATATACAATAAAAACTTGGATTTTGAGTAACGTGGTTTGAGAGGGTTCCTCCAGACAAAGATTTCTAATACATTTTAACATGATAAATGAGCAATGTCTTGTGCAATACAAGTTGTTTCTTTCCAGAACAAATTATGCTCGCAAACCAAGTTATTACTATATCTTATTTTGAAAAGCAAGTGCAAGAGGAATGCAATCTGCAATAATACATTATTGATGCTAAATGATCAACCAACGATTAAATTTCCCTAGTAGTCTTAGAGACTAAAAAATGTAATTTGTATGTGTATAATGACATTTATTACAAGATAAGTCTAAGTAATTATTATAAAAATTTGCATTTAGTTATAAAAATGTAAACAAATGCCTCTTTTTTAAAACTTTGTATACTCTAAAAGCATGAATGAATGCTGGATGCTATGAATATGTGGTAAGTTCTTAAGACCTTTGAAGGAGGTTTAGGTCATATTTAGTATTCGTATTTAACAGCAGGGGGTGAGAATAAATTAGTAATG